TTGCCAAACTGTTCCTTGATTTATCGCCAAGTGTTCTTAACTTTTATAGCAAGTAAAAGTTTAAAACTTTCTTTTACTCTAAATTGTGTATTAAAGTGTTTTTACGACTTAGAAACGATTTCAAATTAGCTCGTTTTGCTTTCGAGGCACGTCAGATATTTGAAGCCGTTGCGTGTGAATAGAAATCGTTCCCGAGCCCCACACGTTCACAGTAGAGATACAATAAATATCTTACTAACCTCGTCTTCTCGGTCCGTACTGTAAGTTACGGATCCTCGTTTTTCCCCCTTCGATTTATGGCCAGCGCGCTTCGCGCTTGGGCCATAAATCGATTGGGAAAAAACTCGGTCCGTAACTTACAGTACGGACCTCGAACTCGGTTGGTAAGAGTTATTTACCATTTTTGTTTGCTGAAGTCCAGGAAGCTGCTTTAAATTCGCGTACACCTTTTCCAGGCGAGTGGTTTTTGAGCTCTTCGGTTTACAATTTATGATTCTACCTTTCCCATAAAGATGTTGGCAAAGGTGACTGCTATTTTAGTACCCATGGCTGTTCCATGTGTTTGGAGGTGTTGAGTTGTGTTTTTGGAACTTTACACCTCAGATATTTGCGGTAAAAATTCGAGTTGTGTTTTTGGAAATTTACAACTCGGATTTTTTGCGTAAAAGTTCGAGTTGCGTTTTTAGAACATAACAACTTTGATTTTTGGGTAAAAACACGTGTTAAAAATTTTAATCAAAAAAAAAAAAAAGAAAAAAAAAATTGTTGATGTCCTATATGAACAAAGGTACGTTTCCTTTGGAAAGCCCAACATGACCCGCCTAGATTAGCTCAGCTATCCGCGGGCATGTTGTAATTGTAATTTTAATTTGAAAACGAAAATAAAATGTATGTATGTAAATGTATGTAGTAATAATCTTGCGAGAAAGGTTTAACGAATATTGAATCATGTGAAGATAACAAGGGTAAAGATATACTAGGCGATTTCTCAATTCTGCCATACCAACATATATTTGGTACTTACCAAAGAAACCAATTGGCTCTCTGCCAAACCTTTTGTTACGTAAAGACCAGTCACACCAATCGTACTTTACAAGGTTTTTTGTGGAGGTGCCCCACTCTTCAAATTATTGTTCCCAAGAAAATAGGCATGCAATATGTGCATACGTCCCCATTACGTCGTCAATGTTATACCCCAGTCTCCTACCAAAGCGGAGAATTGAGTGATAAAAGATGAAGGATGCATCGACTTTATTGTTACAACCTCTAAATCAAGCTTTATTTGGAAAGATAAAACACAGCTGGAAACAATATCAGCATTAAATGAATGTATTTTCCAACCCTCCAAGTTGCGACCATTTTAGTCGCCATGGCGACTAGAATTTTGGAGTTGGCGACTAAATTAGAGCGCAAGTCGCCAGCTCGGCGACTAAAATTAACGTGACCTATGCGTCAGGAGCTTGAGTGGACTATCATCCGGAGCGAAAAGAAAAACGTTCTGAGCATTAAGTATTCACTTTGCAAAGCTAGTTGTTG